CGAGTTCTGCAGGGACTCGTGGTCCACGGTGCAGGTCACCTCGGCTTCGTTGTCCTCCTTGGTGACACGGAACTCCACCCGACTGCTCACGGTGAAGGTCTTTCCGTTGGGGTCCTCCACCACCTCCGTGCCCTCATCTGTGGGGACAGGGGACTGTCAGAGCTGGCACACACAGCACCCAGCAGAGGCACACTGCTGACGTCTGTGCTGAGCAGGGGACACCCTGTCCCTGTCCCTTTGTTGGCAGTAGCACAGGATGCCAGCGTGGTCCAGCACCGGGCACATCTGCAACCCCTGGTGCCCCCCCGACCTCCACGGTGCTCCCCAGCCACCCCAGTCCCCTGGGGCAGAGCCCCACTGCTCGGACACCCACCCTTCAGCTCCTTGTTGCCCTTCTTCCACGGGAGCTGGGCTGCGGGCTTGCTGCCAGAGGAGCGGCAGGTCAGCCGGGCGACCTTCTCCTCATCAATTGGCTGCTCGTGGCCGAAGATTTGGGGTTTCTGGGGGATTCCTGGGAAAGGAGGAGAAAAGAAATCCAACAGCCCATTAGCCGTGTGCGTGCTGCCACCCCGAGGCGGATGCACATGCGGAGACATCAATGAACCCAAGGATGAGTTAACGCGTGGGGATACGGGAGCAGCAGAGACAAACGGCCGCACCGACAGCAGCTTGCAGGCAGGGGACTGGGAGCAGGTGCCACCAGGGCTTACCCAGCACGGTGACCAGGGCCTTCGCAGTCCGCACGGGCATGGTGAAGATGGAGCAGGTGTACTCCCCCTCGTCTGACAGCACCACGTCACTGATGCTGATGGTCAGCTCGTTGGGTGTGGACTTCTCCAGCTGGATCCTGTTATCTCGCAGGGCTGGGGGAAAGGGACAACAGGGTGGGTGACAGGCTCAGCACCACCACACCCTTCTGCTAGCTCACATTTTGCCCGGTGGCATCGCTGTAGGTGGGGAGCAGGAGGGAACATCACCCTCTGGGGCACCTGGTCCACTTTCCTTCTGCCCCGCCATCACCCCGGTGCTGGAGCTGGCTCCTCTCCCATCCCCAGTTCCTGGGCACGTACCTCGCTTCTCCCCGAAGTAGAGGGTCTGCTGCGCAGGGTTGGACCACTGCAGTGAGGAGTCGTCAGGATCCTCCACCTGGCACTTGAGCACCACCGTACCGCCGGCCACCACCGTCTCGTCCGATGTCGTCGGCTGGCTCTCTGT